GCAATGATTTATTATGAAGTGTCATGAAATCGGAATGCCGTACAGTGAGAAATGAGTGAATGGGAAATGCTTTCCCAGTTTCCCAGTCTCATTACTCAAAGATGCAGAATCCCTTTTCATAGCCTAATTCCACTGGAGGCTTTTACCAAGATTCTTGCTTTGCAATGGAAAACAAACTTTGACTTTAATCTCCCCACACCTCCCCCAGAGTAGCCTTGCAGTCTGTTGGTTGTACAAAATATCCAACTTGGACATTATATTTGAGATCTTAATGACAATAATCATGTGGCTCATGTGAACAAAGCAGTATATGAGCCAAGTAATTACAGGTTTCAGATTAAGTGACTTTGATATTTGTTTTTATTTAGTGCATTTTATATCCCACTGTTCTTCCATCATAGAACTCAAGGGTACTTACATGAGTTTCCCAAGTTGTTTCCATCCAGGGACAGACGGCATTCAGATTTATCTCTTTTCTGCATCATGTGGCTTTAGTCTATGAGTTAAAAACTTTTAAGAAAATGTATAACAACTCATAAGTTACTTTGTGTCAGACCATCTGTCTGTCCAGATTGGTGTACTCTAGTTAGCATCCTTTCCCATAATCACCAGTAGGCCTACCTTACTATTTTTAAAAAAAATACAGATGAGAAAGACTAGATTTACTCACTTGGTTATGCCTTCTGCATGCAAAACAGGCTCAATCTCTGAGCCATGATTTGGCCCCAATTCCAATTCAAACAATGCAGGACTATAAAAATGTATTTGTTTGACAGCTAAATGCAACCCCCCATATTTAGAGGAAATATACCAGAGAGCTCCAATTTTTACTCTCAAAGGATGCATACAGTATCTCCTTCTTCTTCAATTTCATACAAAAGAAATTAGCAGCTCTCAAAACAGAATACAATCTTAGATAAATTCTCCAAAATTGGTACAAAGTTCTTAGATTTCATTCATTTGAGAGGTAATTAATGGATATGTGTGGGCTTCTTATCTTTCACTGTGGCTTCCCGGGTTTCAGTTAAACCCCAAGGAAAAACATGATAGAGGACCAGTATCCACAGGAACTTTTGAGATCATGGAAGTCAAGAGAGAGTGTGTGAGAGAAAGGTCACTGGAGGAGGAAGCAATTACTTGTGTTATTCTCAATGTTAACCTCAGAAAAACATCAAAAACATATCACGAAGGAAAAAGGATGCCTCTTTAATGGGAGAATAAGACTTTTTGGGAATTGAAAAACCAATGTTGACTTGTTAAGTTTCATGCACATATACTTTTCTTAATTGAGACTTGCGTTGTCCAACTTGCAATCTAGAGCACTGTTTCTCAATCTGGACAAACAACTTTAAGATGTGTGGACTTCTTCTTCTTCTTCCTCATCCTCCTCCTCCTCTACTTCTTCTTCTTCTTCCTCCTCCTCCTGCTCCATCTTCTCCTCTTCCTCCTCCCATTGTTGTTGTTGTTGTTGTTGTTGTTGTTGTTCTTCTTCTTCTTCTTCTTCTTCTTCTTCTTCTTCTTCTTCTTCTTCTTCTTCTTCTTCTTCTTCTTCTTCTTCTTGACATGTGTGTGGAACTGTGGGCTTCCACTCTAGATTCCTCAGCTAGCTTGGGGAAACATTTGAAACTCTGATCTAGAGTTCCTGCACCTTGACTAGTTTATAGGATTTGGTAGAATCAGCTTGGTCCCATTACTGCAAATCATAGCAACTAGCCAAGTGCAGGTCTGTGCCAAGCATAATCCTGCTTCATGCAAAACCTGGTAAATCTGAAGTCTTCTGCTTCATTTCCATCCATAGGTAGAGATGCTGAGATTTCCACTGTAACTGTTGCTGTTCCTTCCCAAAGAAAGGTTGACATAATGTTTCATTCAGGAAATGCATCATTGATGAAGGAAGAAATATTCATGGCAGCATGAGGGAAAAGTGAAAGGAAATAATTTTTAAAAAGCTCATTAGTTTGATACTCTCTTGACCCATTTCTGACTTCTCATTTTACTGGGGAAGGAAAGGTTTTTGATAGAGAAATCTAAGCTTACATAAATTAATGTATTTCAATATTATGCTCCTCTAGTTTAGCATAAAGTATTTCTGGACATCAACAGTGGTGACAGTGAAGGCTTTGGCACAATTTCATAAGTGGGTTTGGGTGTCTTCAAATTGGGTGTTTTCATTTGGGAGCAAAAGGGCTAAGACAAACCAAATTTTCAAGAGAAAGAGAAGGCAAAAGTTTTTGGATTAACCATATACTGAGGAATCTGGTCCAGAGATGGAAGTCTTAAGCCCAAGGAGGAAAGAAGCAACGATGCAGGGTATCTAGGGATGTGGCCATAACAAGATGGGAATAAAAATAACAGAATAACAGAGTTGTAGGGGATCTTAGAGATCTTCTAGTCCAACCCCCCCCCTAGCTCGAGCAGGAGGCCTTATACCATTTCAGACATATGGCTGTCCAGTCTCTTCTTGAAAGTCATCAGTGATGGGGCACCCACAATTTCTGAAGGCAAACCATTCCACTGGTTGATTGTTCTCACCATTAAGAAATTTCTCCTTAGTTCTATGTTGTTTCTGTCCTTGATTAGTTTCCATCTATTGATTCTTGTCTTCTGGAGCTTTGGAGAATAGGTTGACCCCCTCATCTTTGTGGCAGCCCCTCAAATATTGGAACACTGCTATCATGTCTCTCTAGTCCTTCTTTTCACTAGATTAGACTCAACCAATTTCTGTAAGTGTTCTTTGTATGTTTTAGCCTCCAGTCTCCTAATCAACTTTGTTGCTCTTCTCTGTACTCTTTTCAAAATCTCATTTTTTATAGATTGTTGTGATGTTTCAAAAGTTAAAAAAATGTGAATTTGAGGTAAAGAAAGGTTAGAGTTAAGGAAAGAGTTAAGGAAAGAGGAAATGAATGAGAAGAGGCAGCTATGAGAAAAGATTCTCAACAGAAGATTGTGCATCATTGGGAGGAAAATGGAAGAGAAAATGCTTGGCAGAAAGGAAGTCATGCAAGCAAAAGCTAATTAGAGGTGATGTGTTTAGAGACATGGCAAATCAAGCTTGTAGCTTAACTAGAAAACCTTGGCTTATACCTTCTGGTCCTCACACTGACACTTTACTGTATAAGAGTAGCTTATTGTGGTGTCTGAAATGTGTGATGGCTTCTTTCCAGAACAGGCTGAAAAATAAATTAAAACAAGCCAGAGTTTCTTTCTCTGGTCTCTTCTAGCTGGAAGAATCCATTGTGGGCCTGTGGGCAACAGAATAAGATAGGTTTACAATGCAAATAGGGGCACAATGACTCAGTAGTTAAAGACACTGAGCTTGAGACCCAAGTGCTGTGCAACAAAGTGAGCTCCCATTATTTGCCTCAGCTCCTGCCCACCTAGTAATTCAAAAGCATGCTAATGTGACTAGATAAATAGGTACCACTTCAGGGAGGAGGTAACAGCATTCCATGCGCCTCAGCATATAGTCATGCTGGTTGCATGATGAAGAAAATGTCTTCAGACAATGCTGAGTCCCTCAGCTAGGAAATGGAGATGAGCAGCACCCCCTAGAGTCAACATGACTGGACAGGGGAAAACTTTACCCTCACAAATCAAAGGGTAGTTAATTCACGCGTAATTTATATTACTATTTGTCTTTTTTGTCTGTTTTCTTTTACGTTTTTGATCTCTCCTCACAAATATTTCATAGGAAAGCATTATCCAGAAGTGGATAATCAGGCAAAGGGCCCCACATGGTTTTACCCAGCTTCCTATGGACAAAATTCCAAAGAATAGGAAGAACCAGAATAAACAAATAACTGGATCTGAGACAAAAAAGGATATATTTTAATTAAATTATTTAAATGTAGTTATCATTAATACATTTAATTACAATTCCATTATCCAATAATTACTCCAATAGTTATTACATCCTATCAGTGGTGGGATTCAAATATGTGAACAACCAGTTCTCTATGTGAATGCCACTTCCGGAAGTCCATTCTGGGCCTGGGCAGCAAAAAATTAGCTACGATTCTGCCGAACTGGTGCGAACTGGCTGAATCCCACCAATGCATCCTATGCATCTTTTAATTTTGTTCTTCTGCTACATTAAAAGAATGGCACCTTCCTTGCTATAGTGGAAGTTCCATGATGACCACATTCCAGATTTGGATGAGAAACAAAATGTTTTCAAAGAAAAAAACAACAAAACACACACCCCTTTGGGATGCTCATAAGTAAAGAGGAAAAAGTACCCCTAAGAAGCTCCAAAAGAAAGAAAATGAGAAAAAGAATTAAAGCGGAAAGGTGGGGGGGAAAACCAGCACCCCCTCACCGTTGGGGCCCCATCCACCAGTAACTTCTGCTCTCTTAGCATCAGCAGTGTAGGCTCCAAGAGGTTCAAAGTACTGCCCTTCAAGTCAAGCTCAAGTGTCTGTGAATTCACAAGTATGAATTTCATTGACAGGTCCAGCACTAAATACATTCCCCCCAACTTCACTATCAAAAAAGAGAATATTGTATAAATGGACATAATCACAAAACAGGCCTCTAGTCCCAAAGAAGGACCTCACCAGCACAGGCAGATTAAACGTGGTAGGAAGCATCCTAGAGGACATATTTGATGAGCCATGGTGGCACAGTGGTTAGAATGCAGTACTTCAGGCTAACTCTGCCCACTACCAGGAGTTTGATCGTCTCAAGGTTGACTCAGCCTTCCATACTTCTGAGGTCAGTAAAATGAGGACACAGATTGTTGGGGGCCATGTGCTGATTCTGTAAATCACTTAGAGAGGGCTGAAAAAGCCCTATGAAGTATGTAAGTCTAAGTGCTGTTGCTACTGCTATTGCTAAGCTCCTTAGCATTCAAGAGAGGACCTATTGCTTTTGTTACCCACTTGCATTCCCCCTCCAAGACCCTCACCTCTCTGATGGTGCCTGGCTCAAAATATGGCTTAAAGGGGGGGGGGAGGTTGCACTGTTATTTGCATTGTTGTTTTTATCATTTCTAATTGCAGGACAGATGCCTTAATTCCCAAGCCTGCTCTGAACTCACCTCTGCATGATGCACCACTTCTGACATTGAACTTCCAACAACCTGGACAGAGAAGATTGCCAAAAGAATAATAATAATAATAAAAATCTCCAGCTATTCTTCTTCATCCTCACTAACAATTTGGTAATGAAGTATTGATTTCCACTCCCCTGCTTATGGACGATATTAGATTTTCATTGATAAACTGCACCAAGGCTGTCTGAGCTCCACTTTCCCTTTTTGCTGTCAGTAAAACAAAGTACCGCTGAAGTAGGATAATGACTGAAAACATTGATGTACTTATTTTGTCAATTTGTAACACTCAACGAGAAAAAAAAGAAGTACAATTCTTCATAGTTTAATATCGAGGCATGTTCCACAAGATGCAGTCACACTAGAAGCTTTGCTTTTCATGGTAATGTCCATTTCCTATTTATAACCCCTTTGGGATAGTTTGTTTAAAGGAAATGTTTCAACTCAGTGCAGCTATTACCCACACCTGGGCTGCCCAATCCAGTCATTGCACCAGGGATCAATACATCACCGTAAGTAGAAGAATTATTAAGTTAAAACAGATTCTGAGCCAAAAAAAACTCGGAACAGCGTTAATCTTCCCAGCAAGTTGTTCAGATTAACCATGTTGCTGCCAAAGATTTGTTGAAAATGGATTTCTGGTGTGTTCCCCCCCCCTTTTTTTTTTTTTTTGCATCTATAATTCATGTTGTCTTCTCTCTCTTGTTAACCATTATTATTTAAAATCTCCACTGTTCTGTTTTTCAAGATGTATGCAATGGAGTAGATTTTTTTTAAACAAGCCAACAAAGATTGTGTGTATTAAGTGCTAAAACAGTGAACTATGATACAGTCATCTCTTGCCTGTATTATTGAGATTTTTCTTTGTAGACTATCTTTTCTGGCCCGGTGGCTTTCAGTTGGGTTTGGAATAGAAATTCCAGATACAATATATCAAAAGAAGAGCCAAATTGGAGATTTTTTTTCCCCAGATTTTCGGTAATATGGTAACAATTCCCATCAAATACATGGGTGTCCATTTACCTGTGGGGGTGGGGGTGGAGAACAATGTTGTGCACATCCTGACATCATTGTGCCACTGACATTATAATGTGCATGGCATTACTGTTGCTTCTTTGGATACCTATGAAAAGAAGCATTGCATTTTGGTATCTTTTCCAAAATCCTGCTTAAGTTCAAAAGACTGTTTATTGCCTAGAAAAGGGGAGAGATGTTTTATTGTTAAAATGGTCCCTCTCAACTTTTCTTATCCATTAAAACTTTGGAAGTCCTGATTTTAATTTGTGGAATATTCACGTTAATAATGAGATCTAATTAAGACATCCATTAAAAGCCCGTTAAAGTTAATTTAACGTAAAAAATCCAATAGAACCATATTAGATTTTCTCCATTAAATTAACGTTATGGATTTTTAACGGATGTCTTAATTATGTGTTATTATTAACAGGAATACTGTATTACACAGATTAAAATCAGGTTCTAAGTCAACTCAGAAAGCCTTCTAAGACATTTGCATGGAGCAAATTCTCCAGCACCAATACATTTTTGGATAGGGGTTAAATAGAGGCATAGCCTTCTTTTTCTCGGATCGTCATTTCCTGTAATAATAATGCCAGCCCCTATGAGAAAACATACTTCTGCATAAGGACAAAGCAAAAATAAGACCAAATAAGGGCACTTTTTGCTTTTCAAAAGACCAGTGAATTGTGTCCTATAACTAAAGTCTACAACTGAGAAACTACATGGGGGAAAGGCAGAATCATTAGAAAAATAACTACTGTAAAAGACAACATCTGAAATAAAAGGTAAAGCTGGTCCCACGTAAACAAAATAGGTCACACCACATTTTGTGTCACCTTCCGTTCTCAAGAACAGGTTTTAAAAAACGCTTCTCCATCAGAACTGAGAAATTCTGACAAGATCCCTAAATTCAACATTCTGGGGGAAGAGGGATAGGAAAATTCCCTCCTTATTTACCTCCTAGGGAAAGAGCTGCCCTTATGCTGCATATAATAGCAAATTGCTTTTTTTTTATGGCATACATAACCGAGATGGGGGGGGGGGAAATATGGCGCTTGAGGGAAGGAGGGAAAAAAGTAAATGAAGTTCCAGGAATGTCATTCTGAAGTAATGAGGCATGGACAGAAAATATACCCCTCACATCATCGGATTGAGATGGCAGTCGAAATAGCTTCATTGAAGTGTCAGCACTCATCCATCAATCAATCATCCACAAGGAAAAATAGCGACAATACAACCGAGTAGCTTTTATGGGATTTACTCATGAGCATAGGGAATAGCAGCTCAAATGTAATCCTGACATGAAAGCAAGGTGCTGATATTATTTTTTTTATGATAGGAGGATCATAAAGTGAATTGAGAACAGTAAGGTCTGTCTTTGCTTAACCTATTCAACTGGAAACGAACAGAGCCTTCGGATGGGTTAAGATGGAAGCAATGTACGTGCTGCGGCAGGCTACTGTCTGTGGATGGCGAGATGCTATTACAGACAAATTGATGCATTAGCGCGGATTTCCTCTGAAGCTGTTCAATTGCACCAGGCCAAGTTGGGGATGATTCAATGAAGTTCTGCAGAAACATGCTTTGTTGTGTGTAAATTAGGATGAGGTGGGAAGCAGGTGGGGTAGATAAAATGGTCCATTCCCCCAAAAGATCTCCAACCATAGCTCGACGCAATGCAGAATGAAGGTTCTGTTTAATGGGAAGTACTTATATGCAGATGGACATTGACACAGAGCTATAAGGGGAGGATCTTCTGAGTAAAATATTGCCTCTGCCTTAAAATCACAAGGTGATCCCAGGTAAATCTGCTTTTTTTTGAGGGGGGGCTCAGTCTCCACAAGTAAAAAATGGGAGGAATAATAGCAATCATTATCATTCACCTTGCAGTTTGGTTTTCAAGTTACAGCCAAATAATGAGCATTAAGACTTTCAAAACCTTGAAATACAGGTAATCCTCGACTTACAGCCCAAAATTTATGTTGCTAAGTGAGACCGTTGTTAAGTGAATTTTGACCCATTTTACATCTTTTCTTGCCACAGTTGTTAAGTGAATCATTGCAGTTGTTAAGCTAGTTACACGGTTGTTAAATGAATCTGGCTTCCCCATTTATTTTGCTTGTAAGAAGGTTGCACAAAGTGATCACATGACCCAAGGACACTACAATCGTCATAAATATGAGTCAGTTACCAACCACCTGAATTTTGATCAATGACCACAAGGTTGTAAATGTGAAAAATGGTCATAGATCACTTTTTTCAGTGCCGTTGTAACTTTGAATAGTCACTAAATGAACTGTTGTAAGTCGAGGATTACCTGTGCCATCTCACTGTTAAGTATGGCTTATTATTAACATGCAGTTTTGCAGGCCCAATCATGGGTAAAGTTACCCTCAATCTCAAGTTCAGATATAAAGTCCCAGGCAGGCTTTTGAAGATTAAAGATTGAATAAAATAGAGCTGGAAGGGACTTGGAGGTCTTCTAGTCCAGCCCCCTGCTCAAGCTTACCAGCTTAGCTTCAGAGCAAGACAAGGCTGGCCAATTACTGCCCCAGTTGAGCCTCATGTAAATGGGCTGCGTGCCAAGATAACTTTTTGCAATTATTCCCTAAGATAGGGAAAGGACTGTGATAAGGTTGCAGTCTCTCCCCTTTCTTATTCAGTTTTATGCCAAAATTATCATGAGGATGCTAGATCTTGAAGAATCAAAAACTGAGGTAACGATTGGAGAAAGAAACATCAACAATCAGCAGAATTATGGGTGCATTTTATAATTGGACTTGAGAATATTTGCACAGGTAGGATACTTCCTTTTAAACAGTTTGTTCAGGAAGAAAGCAACAAGTGAGCCTGTTTTTCTGCCCTTTCCTGTCTGACTAATGTAGAATGCTACTGATCTTCAAGAGGCCTCCTTTGTTGCTGTCATTGGGTCTGCATCTGTCTTGGCTAAAAGGTGGAAATAAATCAATGCAATCCAATGCAAAATTATGCAAAACCAGTTGGGGGATCTTTAAAAATTCTACAGATTTGGGGAGATATGGTAGCTATATATTGCAAAATCTTTCAGGAAGTTAGACAGGAAAGTCTCAGAAGTTGCTTTAGAGCAGGGGTAGTCAACCTTGGCTCTTTTATGACTCATGGACTTCAGCTCCCAGAATTCCACGAGTCATAAAAGAGCCAAGGTTGACTACCCCTGTTTTAGAGCCTTCGTGTGAAATTCAGGATCTCCATCCATCTAGGGCTGGTGAGCAATGTTCTTGTTCCTTCAACACAGTGCATTCATCCTTGGTATTGTACACTAAGGTTTTAATTAGACATGGCTTCTGTCTAGTGCAGTCCAACATTTGGAGAGCTGAGAACATCAGTGTTTGTTCTAAATAAACATTAAGCTTCTAGATCTGCTGGTTGCAGAAGGTATTAGAGCAGTGCCTACTAATAGTTTAGGCTTAATTAAAACCCATTGTATTTCTCTGAATAGGATAATGTACCACTGACTTCAAAACCTTTTCCTACCCTTTGGAAATAAGGAGTAGTAATAATGGAGTGGATTATATTTGGAGTGAACCTTTTTTGAGGAGCAAACAGGTCCAGATACAATTCACGGCAAGGCCACATCTTTCCCCTCAATCTGAAAAGAGGCCACAGATAATTTCTCCATGTATTTTGGGTAGAACAGAACAAACTGAACACACCAAAATAATGCAGCAGACTTTTCACCCCAAAAGGACATCATGCCAATCACAAGGCCAATTCTTGATAGGTTTGTCTAATGATACGGTATTAATTTTCAGGAAGATGACCAACGAGAGCCGCCCCCGCCCCCGGCCTCTCAAAATGAATTTTTTAAAAGGCTCCTTACAGATCACAAATCTTTCCACAAGACTATACAGAGTTTTTCATTTTCCTTACATTGTTCTCATTGGGGAAGGTTTTGGATTATACAATATGCTTAAATTCAAATATTTACACTCTCTCTCAGATTTCTACTCTTTCTTGTTACAAACCTGGTTGAACTGATAGTTTATCTGTCATATAAATCAGGTAATACGAGGGGAAAATCACTGCCGCCTCTGCTCAATATTATCATCCTGACTTTTATTCTTATCAGAGATCCTCAAAACATTAATTAAAAAAAACCAGTGATCAAACAGCTGAATATTTATGATTTGCATCCCTACTTATTAGCAAGTGGCATATTGATACACTATATATCCAAGCTGTTTACTCTTTCATGCAGCAATAAAATAGAAAGCCTTGTCACCAGCATCTACAGTTTGGAAAGATTTACTCAGAAACCTGAGATCTTTTTTTTTTTTATCCTTATTCTGATCAGTGTGTAAAATAAAAAAGGTGGGAAAGTGAAGATTTAGATTACGCCTTTTCCTTTCATCACACATCTTCTGCATGCCCACACTGATGGGGGGAAAATGTGCTGCAAATAACTTGCATCTCAGAGAATTTCCTAATTACTTGTAGTTCATAATACCATGACCAGCTGCTCTACATAACCAGCATTGGCTCATCTCTATGACTTTATAGCTTCATTTCCACCACTTGGGGGAAAAAAAAGTGTTAAATAAATTGGATCCTAGACAGGATCATCTTTAAAGCAGTCTAGTCAATTTGTAAATATTCTCAGTACAGTTTTGTTCTGAAAAGCAAAGAAATAAAAAAAAAAGAAAGAAGAAATGCCAGGTCTTCAAATATGCAAGAAATGTTGGCTTTGGATGATGTGGGGTTTTTTTGTTTGTTTGTTTGTTTGACAAGGACTAGTTACGTGAAAACAAATCCATTACCCCTCCTGGAAATTGCCTGTTTGGTTTTTGGGAGAAGTAAAGTGGAAGCCCTGAATCTATACTATCAGTGATCATACAGAGGGCACTGTTTATAAAACTTCAGATAAACAGCCTGCCAAAAAAAGAGATTGTCTCATTTAGTAAAGAAAGTGAATTGATATCGTTTCATTCTTGCTGAACTTCTGGAGAACGTTTTTAATGGGCTGAAGTAGAGTTCATCAAACACATGGATGGAGCTCAGTGTATTGTCTCTTTGGTCATTATTATAGTTGGTTGCACAATCAGTCAGATATTTGGACTGGGTGTGGCCTTTTTATCCACCAACTGAGTTCTTCCCAATGACCTGGGGATAGACAGCTGTGGTTTGACGGTATCATCACAGGATGTAAATTGGTCCAAGTAAAGTTATCTTTTGCAATTGACTGATAGTGATTTTGTCAATGATGATGGTGTTCAAGTGATACTCCAAATATTTTGGAATTGCACCAAGGTACAAATCCCTGTTGGTATTATCTTTGCTTTGATATAGACATTCTATTCCTATTTGCAGGAATTTGTATTCTGTGATCTTCAATTCTTTCTCTCTTTTTTTGCTGTTTCCAGATACTGCCATGTCCACTCTCCAGGCTTTTCATTCTTATTATTCTTATTTTTCCTTTCCTGCCAGTAAAGTTATAAACAGTCCAGAGCAATTCACAAACAATTAATAGCACCATCAGCAATTAAATCACCTTTCCTAAAGCAAAGTAGACTGAAGAATTCAAATTTTAAATTATCATCTGAAAGGCAGTTTGGCTCCGCAGTTGCCTGGGTATATAACCTCAGAATGTTTAATTTCCTATATTGTATAGTGTTAAATGTACATATTATTATTGCAAAATATACAAAATCCTGGTTATATGATGGTACCTTCATTATTTGAAAAGTATATTCAACGTTAACTCATTTTCTTTTCTATGAAATGTAAAGAGATTAAAAATCATTTTGAAAATCAATGTTACATATTAATCTCTCCCTATAACCATTTACAGGAGAACAGTTACTCAAAGATGTTTCCAGCAATATAAATGAAAGAAGGTTATCTTTTTTTATTACATAGCAATAAATAAAGCACCATATGTACTAGGATATAAATACACTAAGCAGAATTAGATTTTTACAGCAAATGTAAATTTCACCTTCCCACACAAATGGGTAAACAAATTCAGTCAACAAGAAAAATGTACACATGAGTAATAATAGTAATAATAGTAATAGGCATATTGAGTGAAATCCCCAAACATCTGGAGGATCACTTGAACATCACTGGTATTGACAAAATCACCACCAGTCAATTGTAAAAGGCAGCTTTACTTGGAACAACTTACATCCTGTGACAATATCTTTAACACTATCAAACAACATCTGCCTATCCCAGGTCTTCAGAAGCATAAAAATGTCAAATTGAGTCTAAATATCTGGCTGACTGTGATGAACCATAATAAATATAAATACTTATTTAACACTTATGTTTTTAGAACAGAAGAATAAAAATACATGTGATTCATTACCATAAGGATATTGTAATATTCTGATACAAACTATAGAAAATTTACACTTCAGCATATAAATACTGAAAATATTTCACCTTTTCCAAATTCCAACTTCTCCTACCATTATTTTTTTTTCTTTGACTTCTTACTATTTTAGATATTAAAAAGCTTCAATACCTGAAATAGTAAATAAGTAAATAACAGACAGGAGAAGAACAGTATTATTTTTCTCTGACATCAGAACTAACTGTAATGAAAACCATGGAGAATTATTTAAATGTTTCTCAATTCTATTTTTTAGATTTAAAGAAATCTTCCAGGGCTATGATAAAAATATGCATATTTGAAAATCTCAATATGGAATTGCAGATTTTGGCTCCAAACCAGAAATTGGCAACTTCTGTTGGATTACTCAAGAGAAACCTCATTAGATGGCTGGTAAACATGCCAAAACTTTATTACGAGGCCATATAAGAATTCTAACATCATGCAACATCTCATTAAAATCTTAAGAAATTTTGTGAGCATCTCCCAAATGATTTGGCTATCTTGCATGAGATCTCACAGAATCCAACTGAAATCTTTTGAAATTGTGTTTTTACTGCTGCTTTGGCTTCGTCCATTGCAGGCTATCAACTCCTTGATCTCTAGGTACAATTTTCTTAGGAGAAAGCACCTTTGGGTGTTGATACAAAGCCAGTAATGAAAGATTCTAGTTCTAGTTCTA